GAAATATTTAACTGACTTTAGCTTTCATTAAATGTTTACCACATCGGAAAATGTTTCAAATAAAAATTGTAATTGTAATGATATGTGTATTTTGCACAAGAAAAGCCGTTAAAAGAAAGTTCGATGTTATCGTCATGTAATATAAGTTATTCTTGACTAACATGAGCCAAAATTAAATTTGGCCGACAGCTTTAACATTAATCCACAGTAATAAATATAATCGCAATTAGTTTAGTATTTTTTGAGTTGAGATTTGCGGGCTTTCCATATGCAATTTATTTTTTGCAGAATTGGCAAAGAGGGCACACAAATGTACGCAAAGTTCAACTGGAAGGATGGACCTGTTGCCGATCATATGAACGACTTGGTGAATTTTATGGCATTTGTGTGGCAACACTGGTCTGCTGGGACAAAAGTCTAGCTGCCAGTAACAGAGACATATGGTAGTCATACAACCGTGCGAGGAGGTTGCGAGAGAAGATGTATAGAAATTGGCTGAGTCACGTGCAAATAGCGGTGTAGGGAGGGAAGTAAATCGCCCATGAACTAGTGCAGGTACATTTACAGCAGGCCGGTCGCCAGTATTAAAGCAACCGAAACAGTCCATGAGCAATACAGTGATACGTGACGACAGTATTGCTGGTGTAATTCTAAATGAGGCGATGAAACGGGGGGGCACAAAACAACTGGCTGACGAACACAACACACCAGTGAATAACGGCATTGACTGTTTTGCAGGAGACGGGTCTGATGTGACCATTGATAACCGGAATTTGGACGTTGGCTGCGAAACGAAACGTTACGACGTCAAGATGCCACCAGCACAAGATGTACCGCCGGTGTTGAACATTGACGCTGAGAATTACATGCTTCATGTTTCTCATTCGTCCGAGACCAGACGCCGATCCTTCAGCTTTACAAATGGGACCACAAAGACTAGCACTGTCAATAATCGACAACTAACGCATCATAACTATCATGCCAACAAGAGCCCACTAGATTTGGATATGTTCTGTGTTCGGGAGACTGTGAATTCCTTAGCTGCCGGTGTGTTAGCGTGTGCAACCAGAGTCCAGCAACCAACAGGTCCGTCTCCGTCCGTGGCACCGAGTGCGGGGTTCGATACTCAGGGTTGTGCCAGACCACTTTCTTTCCACAACCTCATGTGTTCATGTAAACTTTCGTGTTGCTGTACGTGTGCTTCGCTGTGTTCACCAGATTGTCATGCCTGCTTCCACTCGATATGTGATACCGCCCCCCAGTTGGCCGTCAATAAGCAGAAGGTAAGCACTGCCCGTAGAATGTATAACTGTTACACGCATGTTACGCACTTGCCTTAAACCGGTGAAAGTGTGCACGCATCATCTTTTGAAAATATCAAGAAAAGAAAACTGGAAACGTAACTTGTAACGTAGCCTGTCTGTGAAACTTGGGTGTTACGTTATGGTATGTTAAGTGTGCTTAGGTAAATCATGTTACCAAGCCCCATAAACCCATTGCATAAAGAAAGCATTTTATTTTATGTATACTTTTCAGTTCACATACCATTTTAAACATTTTTTGTGCCTTATACAAGAAAATGAATGACATTTTTAGATAAGGTTCAGTATCAGTCTCATGTTGGTAGGTTGTCTTTGCGCAAAAGCTACTCAGAGGGAGGGGGTTTATGAGTGTCTCATTGACTACTTATAGTAAATGGAATACCAACAACTTGGAACGTAATAAAAAGGTAGAGGGGAAAATTAAATTTTCCTGAATTTTTGTCAGCTCGAAGAAGCTTTTGAAATGTGACGCATCTAATGCCTTCAGTAATTTTGTTCTACCAATTATGAAAAGCTTAAATTTATGTCGAGGGGGTGTAGGGGAGAGAAGATGCTATTTATTTTTAAAAGATGGGTTACCTGTAAAATTCCCTGATATCAAATCAATTCAGCCATGGAAACTGATACAGAAAGTATGGCACATTCCCTCAAATCAAAACACTTATGACGAAGTAACAAGTACAGTTTTGTAAGCTTGTGCAGCGTTAATTAGTCCCCATTTGCAATCACTCGCTTTACAAAGATTTTCTTGGAGTGTCTTAAATGTCGATAGTGAGAACACTGTACAAGGAAGGCAACAGAACTAGTGTGAAAAATTTCAGGCCAGTTTCACTTTTTTCTAAAGAACTGGACGAGGTTATTTGCAATAGGTGAAGTCGTCATATGCACGCTAACAACATATTTGTCCCAGAACAGTTTTGCTACAGGAAAGGTGTACACTGAAGATGATGAGGCAACAAATATTTTAAAAAATCATATTGGAGGAATTTTCTGTGAATTAGCAAAAGCACTACATTTTGTAAACAACATTACATTTTTATGGAATTCAAGAAATGGCTACAGAATGGTTCAGATCCTATCTAATGGATGTAAAACAAAAAGTCAAAGTAAAATCACCTATAAATAATTAGAATTGCTTCTGAAAGTGGGGAACAATAAAACATTTGAGTTCCCAAAGGGTCAATTCTAGGGCCCTAGGTTTTCATAATGTACATAAATGACATTCTTCCTTCATCAATAAATACCTCATCATAATCCATAATATTTGCTGATGACGCAAGTGCCATAATTTCTAGCAAAAAATTTGATGATTTCTGTTTGACGTCAAATTAAGTTCATAATATTTAAATACAACAAGTTCGTTGTGGAATGTTGTTCAATGATGTGCCCACCTGTTTACGATAGTATTCTAGTGAAACATTTAATAGCCATTTGTTTAGCGTAACGGCTCGTGAGTCGATTATTCAGAATTAATACGGCGACGGGTCTTAAATTCTGAGAATCCGATCCGTTTCGTTTGGAAGTTTTTAAAAGAAACGCTGCACCAACGTTTGAAACAAGTACGTCGAGTTGCACAGAACATCGTAATGCCGTGATCAGCACCCCTGTTTCTGGGTTCAGTCTCGGCTTTTTTCTCGCCTCCTCATTAGTCGATGCGACGTAAGCCGAGCAGCCGATAAGGCGGTTAATCAGGAAACACAACGGCGATGCTGACCGGAGTTTTGAAGGGCTTCTCCCGTGCCAGAACGGGCGAGGACACGTTTCAGTGTGACCTTGCAGAAGTTGTTGCGTATTTGAGGAGTAGTTAACGCCGTGGCCGCGCGTGGCGTTTGAAACATTGCAGTGAGTATTAAAATCTTTGTGCCCGCGTGTCAGACCTGTTAATGAAAGTCTCTTAATACTGAAACAGGGTCATCTATTGCTATTCGATGAATGAATTAAATAGCAGTAGCAATGACACGGCAGTAAACTCCGGGTCGTGTTCATACAAATTACATGATGGCCCAAAATGTTCGTACCGAGTTTAAAGCTTTATTTTACCTGAACCATTCAAACAGCATCTACAGCCATTTATGTTTCGGTGTGTTCAACGTGAATATTGGCTCGTCGTTGGTGTTGAAAAGTGTGCCGCTTGGAGTGTGGTCAAAACTGATCCTGTCTTCGGAAAATTCTTGACGAGGTTTCAAATCGCGTGCCTCTCCGGTGCAACTTTGACGGCGTGCTCTACCGGGAACACTCTTCAGGTCTTTTCTGGGCTTTCAGATGATGGAATTTGCTATTCGGTGATGAATATCTGCTGCTTGGTGCTGTAGGCTGCCATTTTTGGTGTCTACAAAATCGTAGGAAAGCAAGTGGCTTGCGTGCTACAGTGTGTCTGCAAAGCTTATTCAAATTACGATCACTCGTTTGGGGAAAAATTGATTTTAAAGTGGGTAGGTGCGTTTTGGTCCAACCTGTACATATACAAGCCTGCTTCGTCACGGGCTCTTCTTTCACGTAACAGAGTAGACATCGTAAACGGGGTCTCAAGTTCCTTCGGTTGGTGCTTGGAGGTTGGCCCCGTTTCATTATATTCCTTGTCTAGTTCCTGCCAGACTTTTTAGAGCAAATTCGGTTATTTATGCGACACAAATGTCAGAAGAACACGGAAAGCGATCGTCTTGCGTAAGGACACGCAGTTCATTTAGTGGTGATTCTAATTCCCCAGCCTGAAGTAGGTCGTACCGTTTTTTCTCCGTCCCCGAAGGAAACCACCATCGCCGTCATTCGACGTCACGCAAAACCGACACTTCACACACCGCTGTTAAACAGACCTCAGTCGGCCATTTTGAACTGCTACTAGAACTCGATCCACCGATTATGGCCGCTGACCTTGTAGGGAGAGCCCAGTGTGCGGACCACTCAGTGAAGTCAGTACAGTCTGTGTCAGTGCAGCATTATAATTGTTGTCTTGTGATTGTGCCACCTGTGAGGAGTGGAAGAATTAGAAGATGACCGAAGAGTTGTGAACAAGATAAAATTATCGTATACTCTCTGCAGCGTTAATTTTCTAGTGATGTGTGGTGTAGTGAAGTCGACTTTCCTGTGTTCCATACCGTGGTGATGTTTTATTTGGATTGACTGTACGCGGCCTGCTGCCATCCCTTCCAACAAACTTCTGCTGAGTGACTCGCTCCGAGGTTCCAATTCACAAAGTTCAGCGGCCAAAAACGCTGGAACTCAGAGTACCAACTGCTGTCGTATTTACACCGCCTTCTCCGCGGCCGAGTGAACGAAGACAAAACTCTTGCTTCAACGAAAGTCGCGTGTTTTAGTCCAGG